AATTGAAAGCTTCCCTAGTTCTCTAGGTATCATCGTAGTCTACTAACTATTAATTACTTACTTCACTGTGTTTATAGAAGAAAGACTTAAATGTTGTATATAATACCATAAAATAGAACTTGCAACATTGTATGTTTGGTGTTTACTGATTAAAACAGGCCAGTTGTATAAAGACTTTTTTACTTGAAATAAAAGCAAATAAAAAAGCAACCCACCTATTAAAAGATTTTTAATTTAAACAAACTTATACTAAAATATTAAGAAACCTATGTTTTTTACTTACCCTGCAGTAAAACCAGCAAATAACTTCATTTCTTTTTTTAGCCATTACTTTCACATACACATTTCATCCAAGCTAGCTTACTCAGTCTTTCCTCTAACATTTTCTGTCACCATCCAGCACATATATATTAAAAAAATTAAAAAATTTCTAGAGTTACAAGTCACTAAAATTGCTTCTACCATAACTTCTCCAGCTAAGAAAATAACCATCCTTCTCTCCTGGTTTTTAACTTGTGTTCTGACCCTCCCTGTTTAATCTTATATGCTCCACACCTGTGTTCTGACCCACCCTGTGTAATCTCATATGCTTCACACCTGTGATTGGCAGATAAGATGTACTTGCCAATTATCCAATCTCACAGCTGGGAAATTAAAGCACGGTGTTTCATTGGCAGGTTTTTTAGAGGATAGAGAATAAAATCCAACATTCCTGATTGAATCTTTTGTTTGTTTCTGTTAGAAAAAGTCTGAATGTTGGATGTAAGGAGAGGTTATTGTTTGCTTGTAATTTTTCTAGTATTATTAGACTAATTAGTAATGTTTTGGTTAAAAGGTTATTTTTCTTTTCAAGAAAGCTTTATTAGGGCTTTATTTTAAAACGATAAGTCTTGTTTTATTGAAACTTGAAGTTTTTAGCTTAATGGTAATGCAACCTTCTAGGTTTTGACCTAATCTGCTTTCTACTACAAAATCAGTATTTTGATGTAAGTATTGTATGTTGTGCTCAGTTCTTAACCATTGTAACAGCAACATAAAATTAATAAAAACTAAAAATGCACTTTCTGTTCGTGAGCAACTTTTTATTTATTTTAATCCTCAAAGTATAAATGTGGAGTATAATTATACATGTATATAGAAAATAAGGTTACTTAAGAGTAGTAAGTGTATATTCCTTTAAAACAAACTTAAACATTGGAGTAACAAGTTGTGTGGATTGATGTACTTCAAACTAGCTAGAGCTTTAAGAAGCTCTTCTTTGGTTGTTTTCTTCTCAGAGATATATTTACTGACACTATGAGTGCAAAGGCTTGTTCAACTGAGGCTTTTTACTAATACTAAATGACTAATAGTGCTTTTATGTTCAATTATTGAAGTCTACTAGAGAGATGAGAGCTTCTTAAACAACAACTGACTTACAAGTCAATATCTGAGTTTTGATGTAATACAAAGCAGCCTTTTCACCAGTGGTGCATTGTGAAAAGAAATCTGTGTGAAGAGTTTTATTTTCTATCCTTCTATTTTTTGTTGTCCTGAGTTTTTTTATTTATTTACGCACTGGGTTCTTTGTGTGGTTTGTCTTTCCTTTGTCAGAGTATTCTTTTGTGCATTTTTGAATTGCAAAGCCAAGACCTGAACAGAATATGGTTTTCCTCAAGAGAATCAAAGTGCTTTTCTGGATCTCCTGCTGGATGAACCCTGTTCTTCTCCTGGCTGTATCAATAAGTTGTTTAAGTACCTTAAACTGTGTGAGATAAATTTGTATTGGGAGACCCAGAGAATGGACTCACTAGAGAATCTACAAAAGAGGGTAGTTGAGTGGTGATAGTTTGTGTTAACTGCTATGTAATAAGAGTTCTGGAAGAAAACACAGCTTAACCTGACACAGAAACAAATCAGTAGGGCTTTGAAAAAGGTTACCCCCCATGTGCTTCTATTAATTAAGGTGCAGGAACAAGGTAACAAGTGCTGGGCAGGCTCTTGAAACATGCAGACTTAAGAGAGCTTATTTTCCTGAAAGGGATTACTCATGCAAATATGAAAGACTGAGACAGCACTGGGGAAGACCACCAAAAAGCTGGTGTGTGGTCATGTTTGCATACAGGTATTTTAATCTGAACCTACCCCAGACTTAAAAGTCAGGGCCTGTCAACAGCAGTCCAGGAACCCTGAAAACCTAACTCGGTTTATAAAGGTTTTTTATAAAACCTTTTTCCTTAATGCTTATGATATCAAACACCAGTTTCTCTCTTTCACTGTTCTCCCTGCTGAGAAGTGCACGCTACGTGTCTTCCATGCTGTGCTAGGTTTGTGTAGTAACAGGTTGAAAGTGCTCACAAGCATACTAGAAGAATTCTGAAAAAATAATGTGCTGTAGATAGGACCTGTTCCCCCAAACACAATCAGCAGAGGCCTTGAGAGGATGTGATTGTGTAAGTGGCATGGGTGTCCTTATATGTACTTATACTAGTCCTTACTTGCCTGTCACTGGAACTGTTCTGCAAACAAGTGAGATACCCTTGCCATAAGAGGTATGAACACCAGAGGGAGAATCCCCGCTGAACCCCAAAGTGTTCTTGAGGAGCTTCCTGAAGGGGCTGAACTCAGTGTGAGTACAGGCTGCGGAATGGCTTGGTTGAGATGATAAAGAGGAGGTCTTGCATGCATGGCTGCCTCTTTCATTCTCCACATCCCCCTTCTCCTCTATGTCCAACCCTCAAACATCCCAGCTCTGTGGATTTTAGTGGAGGCTGGGCAGCGAGTGCAGGGTGACAGCACTTCTCTCTGTCTTGGTTTCTGATGCATTGATTCTATTAAAGCAAAGCAGCATGCTGGGTATTTACAGCATAGCTTGGGACATCTTCTGTCAGACTTGTAATGCAGAGAGACAAGCTCAGTGCTGCTTGGCTTCTGGAGAGTGGGGGAAGGGTTTAAATGCACTTTTCTCCATTGATTTATGTCCTGCACTGAAAATCAATGATGTTCTCTCAGATCCACTCAACTGTTTGAAAACCAGCAGCCTGTTTGGTCAAGTGTGTGGGGAAAAGTTCTGAAGGAATCGGCTCTTAAGATATGGATGGATGGGATAGGTACTGCTGCTCTGTAGGAACTGTTATATTCATCTGATAACAATTGCTTTTGTATCATCAGTCTATGTTAGTTGAATACGCTATCTAATAGTTTTTTCTCACTGTTACAGAGAGAACAGCTGTTTTGGAGAGGAGGAGCCAAATGCTGCTTTTGTTTCCATCTGAGGTTGGGAGGGGCAAATGAAACTTGTATGGAAGGAGGATGCAGAAGGGTAATTTTAATCCATGTTATTTCTCTCTGATGGGGTCTGCTTGAATCTAGGGTCTGATTTTGTCCCGGGTAGCGGTGTTTCTTGTCTTTCAGTAAATGCTTGAAAAGCTTGTACTGCAATGAAGACCTAAGGTGCTGAATTCCTATGGAGCTTCTAAGCACAGTGCCCCTCATCACAGAGTTCATAAATATCCTGTATTTGTTTTCATCCCTGAAGAGGGAGAGCAGCATACTATCCCTGATTTTACAAGGGAGGTATATAGAAACTGTGTGTAGATGGGGTTACACAGGGAGGTAATGGAAGAGCTTGAAACTGAGGTCTGAGGTCTCAAGCCACAGGCTGGCAGCCTTTCATATGGCCTACTCTTTCTCTTGGGTCTTAGGAATAATTTTGTCAGTGTTCCTAAGGGAAAGGAGTTTTGTTCTGTCTTCCAAAGCTTTCCTTTGGCCTGAGTTGCACAAGATGGGTAAATTTGTTTCACTTGCAATCTGCTGTGGATGATGGACGCTTCTTTGAGTATGCCTATTTTATTTTTTTTTGAAAAATACACAGTTGCTGCTTATGTAGATGCACCTTAGCAGATTTAAAATAACTAGCTGGGGACTTGGTACCTGTATAGCTGTGGCAACACCCAGATCAGCACAGGTTAGCCACCCAAATGCTTACTCAGCTTTTTGAATGGTTTCACAGCCACTGTAGAGTTTCAAGTAGCCAGTATTACTCTTCTGTTAATATCCAAATAGGCTAGCTGGAAAGGCTTTGTTTTTCTGAAAAGCAGATGTATCCTAGGGCATATGGATATAAAGGTGTAAGCATGACCTGTGTATGTGTAAAGTGCAATAGATCAGAATAGTTGTGCATATGCATACATGCAAAACATCACTATTTCCACGGCCTTGCTGTGAGCAGCAAGATTTATACATGTTTTACTAAAGAATAAAAAAGTTTTGTTCTGGCTGGTTCAGCTTGGTAGATGGTCAGAGCCATCTTCTGTGAACTCTGCTCCCTACCACATTTGAGCCTTCTTACAGAAACTGATAGGTTTGTTTTCACTGCTGTGATGGCAGAAATGGAATGGAGTATCTGAACTAGTTTGTAAGACTTGCTTGTTAACTGCACTAGACTGAAGCTGAAGATGGGCTGTAAAGGTGTCTCGGGCTGTCTTAAAATGGCTTTTAGGAGAGAGTTATAAGTTGCATCCCATAGCAGTCGTTAAATCTAGACAACCAATTTCTGCTTGATTTGGCTTTTTCTCTCATCATTGAAGCATAGATAAAATGCAAAATTAAATCAATTTTTAGAATTTTTTTCTTGGCAAGAAAGCCATGAGGGAAATGGAAAAAGTATTTCAGTAAGACTAAAAGCTTTAATTCTGCAATTTCCTAGCTACAAAATAGAATAAAGATAATTTATGCATGTGAGTATGTTTATCATTCTGAAGAGCATGTGTGCTTTTTTCTGAGAGTCTCTCTAGCCCTTGAGTGACGAATCTGATTTTTTTTTCCATGCTGGATTTTTACTGCCTCCAAACTTAACTGTTTTGACACTAGAGAAATCCTCTTGTTTCTCCTTCAAAGGTAAATATATATATATTATTGCTAGAAATTAGCTCTACCTCACCCACATGACTGGTCTTCACTATTAATCCCAGCTGATGGTAGGGAGGGGCTCTTCTGGGAGGCAGCCATGTGGTGAACATTGAGCACAGTGTTTTCCCCTGCTTCTCTCCTTTTCAGACAAGCAAAATTGTTCTATGCTGCCGTAGATGTGAACTCCTTGCTGCACTGCCTCTGTCTCTTCTTTTCCAGAAACTCAAGGGCCTGAATTACCAGCCGCAGAGATCTAAAAGCTCTCACTGAATCTGGATGGAATATGGACAAGATGAATAGCAGAAGGGAAGAAAGAGTGAAGTTGGTTATTTTTCTGGCACATGGATGCAATTACACTCAGTGCATTCCAGAGGCGTTCCTTTGAATCCTGTGCAGGTCTGCCTGCTGTTCCTGGGAGAAAGGAAGAAAAAGGGAGGAAAAGTCCCTCTTGCTTGGAGACGGAATGTCCGCGCTTTCAATTCTCTTTTTAGGTAGGTTGGCTTTTTGGTTTTGTTTAGTGTTTTTAATCAAACTTCCACGCGCCCCCTCTGCATGACTGAAATTCATTTCTGATGAGTGAGAGAAAGGGATTTGTACAGAAAACTTTTATGGAGAACTCCTCAGTGTTGTTTGGGTTCTGATGCTTTTCTTGTTGTTTTATTAGCATGTTGATAGCCTGAGATCTCTTAATATCTGGATTAATTATTTAGAGGTGGTTAAACCTCTTTTGGAATGTATGTCTCTTGTTTAAAGAGGGCAGTGCTTTTAAGCAATGAACTAGCGAGGGGCTTAAACCTCTTTTTCAAAACAAGGTGAACAAAATGTCTTTGTTTCGGGCATAGTGTCAAATTTGTTTAACTCTGTTTTGATTTCCTTGGGCATTTAACATTCAGATTTTAAAATAAAAAGGGGTTATTGTTTGCAATTGATGCCTAAGATTAGAAACAGATGTGTTAAAGTGCAAGAGGCAGGAGTTGGGGGGGAAAAGGATGGGAGAAGGGAGATAAAGGGGGAAGGCAAGAAATGGGAAGAAAGAGGGCTGCTGAAAGAAGGGAAAGAAAAGAGGTAGAGGTTGACTGTTGAATAGGAGAGGGCGGGAGAACAGGAACAGAGACATTAAAGGAGAGTGAAGAGAGAAGGGCTGAAGAGAGCTGTTTGTTATAGCTGTAGCCTATGGAGAAAAGAGTTTGCAGCCCTGAGGTCTTTGAGGGGGCTTGAGTACTAGACTGACTCAGAAGCAGCCTGGGTTTCTGCATCTCCAGAGGCACTGTAATGTGATGAGTGAGCTTCTGTCTCTATTCTACTCACCATAGAGTATTGACAGGCAGACAGCTTTGAAATCTGTTGTGGCTAGGCAAAGGCTGTGATTCCTGGGTCCTCCTGTCTCCAGGTAACCTGGGTACAGGTGTGAAAAAGTGGGCTGGGCTTTGATTCCCTGGGAAGAGTTGAGCCCACAGGGTGGAGGAATGATGTGGCTGGGTACAGGTAGAATAGAGTTTTTTGGACAGCTGTAAAGAAATGTTGCAGGCAACAGCCCTGTTCCTTTAGTCTCACAGATGGGGAACATAGACTAGCCAGGTTTCTAGTTATCTGAAAGACAGACAGCTTTTGTAGTGCTGCTGAATAAATTGTAGAAAATGGATTGCTCTAGGGATTGCTGTTAGCAAAGGTTTTATCTGTAAGAGTGTGAAAGGGGTCTTGGACATGCTGCAGAATCTGCAGGGGAATGCAGGCAGCAGTTTGTCCCCCCGAACATCTGCCTTGGCTGTTTGTGTCTCAATGTGGTGGAGACAGTGTTTAAAGACGACTCCAGGTGAGACAGCAAGGTTAAGAAGAAGTGCCAGGTTTCTGCCAGAGGTGTCTGGGCTCGGTCAACCCTGCAGAAATGGCCAGGAAAGCTGCTCTGTGGAAATTAGGAGACAGAAGTGTAGGCTGCTTACCTCACTGATGGAGAAAAATGAGACCTGCAGTCCACCAACCCTATTCTGCTAAATATGCCTGTATGTTGAAGGCTTGGAGCAAAAGGAGTAAGTTGTTGTGAGACAGAAGGTGCTTTTGGCTATAATGTAATGATAATTTACATTTGCATGTTTAGTGCTGCTTTTATCTATAAAATATAATGGGCTTTATCGTTGTTATTCTTGTGTCCTTGGCATCTAGGCATCTTCAGTAGGCTAGTAACACAAATGGCAGTCCCTGCCCTCCAGGGCTTATGCCCTCATCTGTGAGTCGAGTTTCTCACCCTCTCTGTGGGAGTTGTCCAAGCAATGGTGAGGAGAGGATAAATGGCTTCTCAAAGCTTACAGCAAAATTTGGAATGTTATGTTTCCTGGTGTACTACATTAATCATTACTGCCCTTGTCTTGCCCATGCTTTACCTGCCTTGTCAACAGATAACTTGGTCTTTCTGCTCTGTGTCCAGCTTCATTCACCAATATTAGTGTGTTCCAGGGAAAATTAAGGAAGTATTGTGATTCCATGTTCCTGGATTGTCCTGAAAACAAGGAGGCTGTGGAGTCTCATTTGTTAGCCAGAGAAAGTCTAATTGACTGCAGTAAAAAAGTATAGAAGTGCAAATGATGGCTTGCTTGTCTTGCTGATAAAGTGAAAGACTAGTGCAGAGAAGCCAAGCAAGCTTGAAAGGAAGGTTGCCTGGTTTGTGTTTTGATTATTAAACATACTAATAGCATGGCTAATATATACAGTCCTTGTCTCTTACACTGCCTCTCTGGGGCAAGTGAACAGCTATGTGAGGAGACAGGAAACAGGAGCCGATTAGTTTTAAGGAGGCTTTTAAAACATGACAAGATGACAGACTTTCCGAAGTGTGGGCAAGAGTATGACCATGCTTACTTCCCTAGTAAAGGCTAAGTAAACGAAGGAAGGAGCAAGGAGTGGAAAGTGATGTGTGCTAATGTGTGTGCCTACATGCAAGTGTTTGACATCTGATTCTCATCTCAGTCTACAGCTGATCAAAATTGTTTCAAATTCCTTGTGTAACACACTGTGCTTTTAAAAATCAGAATGGAAATTTCCAAGGGAAATATCTATGATTCTTCACTACTGACTGTAAAAAAAAATCATACTAGAACGTTGCATTTCTCAGCCAGTAAAAACTAGCAAGTGTTCTCATTTAATGTTTTACTGAATTGGTTTAAATTTTCAGGTGCTGGAATTTTTTTTGCCTTCTTTCATCCCCTCCAGGTCAATTTTGAATATTTTTAATGAGCTTTCCACTAAAGTAAGAAGCTAATTTTCTTTAAATCAAATATGTTCACGTGTGGGTAATCCTTGTGTGCCTGACTTTCACACTGGCATTACATGCTTTTTCTTCACTTCTTGGCTAGTGTATGTGTGCTGCTCTTCAGAAACCAGTGGGTTCAGGATTAAAAGCAGTAGATGTGCCAAGCCAAATCAGTTATCCAACTTTCTGGTGTCCTGCTATTGGCAGTCAACATTTACGTTACTTTTAGGGGTTGCTCACCCCAATGCACACTTAGTCTGGCTTATGATTGTCTGACAAAGATGTGTTCAGTGTGTTAGAATCAGCATGTTACTGGGGTGGTGTTGCTAGAGTGGGTGCAGCTGTAATAGCAAAACTAGCTCTTGTACTGATGTTGCAGGGCTCTGCCCTCTGATCTGAGGTCAATGACTCTCTCATAGTGCTGTCCCAGGGGTGTAACAGTTGCTGCATTGAATATCAAGACTCTGATTGTCTCACTGCACTGGGAAAAAGGTTATGGTGCAGATCCTTCCAGTGCCTGTTGGCATGAGCAATTGGGTCTGACAGCATGCATTTGCCTAGGTATTCACCCGACTTCTAGCTTGAAAATCTGTGATGATATGGAAACAGCTCTGCAGTATTCAGCAGTGGTAGGACAGCCTGGGGCTGTGCTCTGGTATACCGAGACTGGCCTTCTCTCCTGCACAGGCAACCTGCAGTGTGCCCTGTCGCATCTCCTTGAGATCCTTCTCCTTAAACCCTTGCAATGCTACTCTCCGGCAAAGCCAAGAACCACTGGAGTGTTATTTAAAAAAAGCACTCCTGCTCCCAGTGGGGTTACTGGGAAGTTTTACATTTTAATGGAATGCTTCTGTCTGGAACTAGTAAAAAGCAAGGCAGATTGTTTTAAGCAACCTGAAAATAGGTGCTGATGATTTTTTTATTTCTGATTTTCCAGGTATTTCCCGAACTTCTCAGTAATAACTAGCAGTATATAATAGACTTGCTATGTCCTAGTTTTCTCAAGGCTCCTCTGCCTTTGCTTGTTTGTTTCACGGTGTACTTAGAAGCTTGGTGGGACAAGAGTTTTGCCCTGTGTTTTTAGAGCACTTAACAAAAAACAAAGCCTTGGCTCAGGAGTGGAGTAGAAAAAGAAAAACCTGTAGCTGTGAAAAGGGATTTTGTGTGCAACTTCGCTGTGTGGATTTCACCTTTTCTTTCTGTCATTGGATTCTGAAGGAATCCCATTAACTTGGTGTAGTTAGCGGAAAAGATTATTCTCCCAAGGATGGCTTCATATAATTGATAATTGACAACTCATTTCTGTCATGAACACTCCAAAAGCAGTCAACAAAATGTAACTGCATGCAAGATTCAGCCTGTTACAGTAGTGTGAATTTAGTTCTAGGACAGGACGAAGAGCTCTCTAATAGAACACTACACTAAGAATACCAAAGGAATGGGAGCAAAGAAAAGCAGTGTATGCATTTGGCACTCCAGGGGGAATTCAAAGGAGCTAGACATAATTAAGTGAGTTGCTATCTGGCAGGATATCAGGGTTAACACTCCTTGTGAGACACTAAAATTCTTCTAAAGCCAAGGATGGTTTGCATCGAATATTTTCTGTCAAGACACTTGATAAGAAATGGCCTATTTTTCCCTAGTAGTGCTTTGTTTTATATGAAATAGTTTGGATTTTTAGCATCTAAAAAAAAAAGTATTTTGCAGGTTATTTTTATCCTTTCTGTTTTTTCCATTTTACTGTGAAGAAGAAAAGGAGAAAAAAGGTAACCTTCCAGAATGAGGAAAAGCAGCATGGCAAAGTTGATTTGAAATTCTGAAGATGAATTCATTTTATGGGAAATAGAGCTAGGGAGGGGGGGAGGAGGCAACTTTTCTGAAATTCCCATGGAAAACAACTGGTGTTTTGCTTTTGTGCCCACCCTGGACCTTGTCTCCATGTAGAATTAGCGGTCTGTTTCTGTGGGGTACTTTGGCCCACTTCAGAAGGACATTTTGTGTAAGAGCAGCACAAGCTTCCCAGAAATGTCATTGCACAACTGGCTTGGAGATATCCTGATGTTTATCCTCAGGATCACAACAAATGCCCCTGTTTTCCTCAAGGCAAATACAGGGCTTTATAGGGAACTTAGCAGGTTTTCAATCTGGGATTTGTTTGAGTTTTTAGGAACTGCCTGAAAAAGTAATGTAAACAGTTACTCTGACAAAGCCTTGTGTGTATTTGAAAAATCTTTTGTGTGTAAGTGT